AAAACCTCTGTGCAATTGCTTTGGTTACTAGCAGATTGCCATGGGCGTCCATAGTTTGCATGGAAGGACTGACTTGTCTGCAAACACTTACCAACTGCTCACCAAATGGTCATGAAGCTGTAAATGTGCGATGTAAACTGGAAATGGAAACCCTTGGCCTTTCTAAGTAAAAATTGTGCCTTAACACTGCAATCGATACATCTCAAAGGTCACAGCTATCCATATACCTCTTTGCGACCAATTTCACCTATCAACTGGCATCAATCACTGGTGAGCAGGCTGGGAGGGACATTGATCCAAAGCGATCTGTTGTTATTGGGTGGGCTACACTGACAGTTACAATAAGTTGTTTGCAAAGTTTTTTTGGCTTTTGTTGACGTTGTGTTGTGTTGTATGTGTTTTTGTTTTTTTTATTTTATTTTATTTTTTTTTATGGAACCTACAGTGAAAGTTGAGTACACTGCATAATGCGAACATTAGCAAAGTAATGTTGATGAACCCAAATATTTTCTTTTGACGAAGCACTTGGCAACATTATGTCCATATTTCTGTATGGACATATTGCAAATCAATTTCCCATTAGGGACAATAAAGTTACCATTGACCAACAGTGGGGATGCTGCTTAGCAATGAAAACCAGGCACAGCCTCTACCCAAACGGTAACAATCTGGCTTCAAAATAAATAAATCCTAAATATTTAGCCACTGGTTGCTACTAACAACACAACAAGAATTTCTCATTGTGGCAAGCACTGCACCGACTCCCTCATATTCCAAAATGGGGAAAAAGTCTCCAAGTCTAACGCATTCTTGACTGAATGTGGATGACGCTGATGATGTTGGCAGTAGCTCCAATTTATGACCTAAATCCCTGCACTAGTCATAGATGGGTGACTTCTCTGGGTGTGGGAAGAACTACAGGGTTAAAAAAGAGAGGGGGGGGAAAAAAAATAAAAGGATGCCAAAAAAAGAGGACTTCAAGGTGACAAATGAAAAGAGCAGTTCAATAAAAGCAGACAACGAAGTGGGGGGCACTTTAAAGTCCTAAAAGCCCTTAGATGATGGATAAGCCAAACACCAACTGCTCAGTGTTTTGGGAAAACAGCCGTAGGCCTGAGACATATGTGTGGCAGTGGTTGAGAGCACATGTGAATCATGCACCTTTCAGTTTGGCAAGACGTTTTCCACCCAGCAGATGGACCATTGGGATCGAGTAAACACCTTTTTAGTGCCAGTTGAAAAGTCAGGGAAAGCGTTTCCCCGCTCAGTCGAGGGAAGAGATGGGCTGTTAAGTCGCAGTTGCTCAGATTTGGGTTCCCTGCTGGGTGAGTCCGATGGGGTGAAGCCAGAATGCACTGTCATACTTAGACCTTTTTGTCAGATCCATTTAATGTTCTTTGGACAGTGGATTAGCAATGTGATATCCACGGGGTGCTCCTGCTCGCTGTGTGGAATTTTGCTAAACAAGGTGGGTTCAGATTTACCCTTCTGTCAACACTTGCGTAACATCAGGGCTCTGCACTGCTGCAGCAGGGCTTGTACAGGATGGAGATGAACTGTTACGCTGCTTCTAACCTCCTGCCCCTGCCAGCTGCGATGACGTTTGTCCGAACGCTGTTCTCTGATATGGGGAGTATGTACAGCCAAGAACAGATGCTTTCCCAGTTTAGCTGCTGCATTTCAACAACTGTTCTCTTTCCAGTTTCAAGTGAACTTTTCATGTTTTGTCTACTTCCTCATAGAAACTTATGGCAGTGTGCAACGCCTATGACTTCAGTTTTCTTTAGAATCAGTGGTGAAATGTGAGCAAAGCTGTTTTCGAAGTAAAACCAGGTCTAGATTGACTGAGCCCATCCCTCGTCCTCCTTCTCCCCTCTTTCTGCCTTGTTCCATCTCAGCCGATCACTGACCTCCATCACATCCCCTGCAAATGGAAGCCAAATGGGCTGATTTGATTTTGGCCCAGTTGCTTTCAGATGATCATGATATATGACAATTTGGGAGTTATCTCTGAGCTGCATGTGGAGTCAAAGCTATCCGGTTGTTCAGTCTGACGTCACTAGCCGTGTCTGGGTCTAAACTCCGCTGCAGGTCCATATATCAAACGATCACTATGGCATTACTGAGAGTTGAAAAACTGTCTAAAGTCTTTCATCTTTAATAAAATGATCAGCGTTCTGCTCTACCAGGTGTAACAATTGAGTTTAACATCCAGGCATCCATGAAAATGGAATTTATGACATTTAACGGAGTTAGAAGTTAGCAGGAAGTTAGCTCGCTAGCTTCTATCTAAATACAATATAGCATGTCCTGACTGCGGGGTTTTGGAAACAAATTAAAACGTACAGCTCTGTTATCACTTCCAGCATAAATGAAGACAGAAAACTAAACAGCAGTGACGTTTGTAGGGTTACTGAAGTTTGGCTAGCTGGTGCTACGTGACCGCTAGCGACACAGCTATGTTAGCATAATATAAACAAGCTAACTTTTTTTCCACTCGATAAAAGTTACCGTGAGTGTTGTCGGTGGTCAGGAACAAATGTAATCGCATGGCAGGATGCTGTAAAAGGACCAAACTTCAGCCAGGAGAACAACTGAGATAATCCATCCACAACATGAGGTTAGTCATTCATATACTGCTGCATGGGCTGGGCTGTAGTTACATCCTAAGGTTTTAAAAACTGAGCTTAAATAAATGATTAGCGGTAATAAAAGCCGAGGGAGGTCAACAGGGATCACCGACTGTTTTAGGAGCTTTTTGAGATTAAATAGAAGAAAATACAAAACATTAAACATGTTAACAACACAAAAGCCATATTAAACGCAGACTACTTTAGACCCGGAAGTAGGATTCGTCGCGTCATCACTGAACAACCGTATTGGCTCAAATCCCATCATAATGGGGCTCTTATCCACTAAATTGTGCATTGGTTTGTTCGCAGCACAGGGAAGATATTGTCACTACAGTTCGTTTTTATGTCAAGAGCCTCTTGTATCCTGGCAGCTTGTCTCAGGTTAAAAAAGATGACTGTAATCAGCACTCTGTCATATCTCTTAATTCAAATAGACACAACAGGGCACTGGAACAGAACGGACGCTCCTTCTTTGCATGGGAAGTCTCTTAGGGAGCAATTATGCAAGAATATCTTTGGCTCTTATAAAATATTGATTGCTCCTTTTTTTTTCTGCAATTTTGAACAATCCGCTTTTTTAATACCCCTGCATGTCCTGCAGGAACCTGCTATGCGTCAGTCTTAATAGATATTCGAGTTTGTTGCCAGTTCTCAGGCGAATATCTCATTAGTGTCATAGTTTAAAATTAGATTTGATGTTACCCAGAGAGAGGGGAAAAAGAGAGATGTTGTTGGCGTGATTGTGCTGTGCTGAGCTACATATAAGCCATCCTGAGTGTTACTAATTCCCTCAACTCTGGGATGAATGATACTTGAGGGCTAAGTCTGTACATACAGTGGAGCAGTGCAGAATAAAGAGACAAAGCTCAGTCCAGCCTCAGATCACTTTGGCATGAAAGGAATCCTCTGTTGGCGCTGGTTTCTGACTCCTTCCCCTCCACGAGAGACCACCGTTTTCCTGGTCTGGCCTCTGCAGACATTGCGGCCTTTCATCTCCCATTGCAACAGCAGCAGCTGCTCCTGGGCTCCTTTTGGCTTGATGGGAGGCGTTCAATGTTTGGTTGTGTAGTGAGTACTTGTGAGGTTATAGCCGTGTGGATAAACATTAAAGGCCACAAAACAAACACCAAAAAAATACACAAATGTGTCATAGACAAGCACAGATTATATTAAGGTTTGTGAAGCCCTGTTTGAAGCACCATTGTTAGACACAACTACCTTCTACATAGTGCTAAGTAACAATCAAGTAAAACACTAGAACTGGACTCGCAAAAACTGGAACAAATGCTTTTATGGATGAGCTGTTAAGCAAACTTTGTTATTTGTTAGATCACTGCATTATCAGTGATCACAAACACAGTAAAAGGCGACTTAGCCCTGTTTCAGCCTCTAATTTTAAACCTAAATAAAGTTTTGAGTGTCTGAGGAATTATAAAATGAATAAAGCGCTGGTGTATAGCTATAATGATGTGGTCTCATCTTTCCAAGCTGTTGCATCATCTCCCTCTGTATAATCTGTGAATCTGCACTGATACATCATCAGTACAGAAACTCAGTCTTCAACAAATCTGCATAAATCTTGGGTTCGTTGGCATCTAACATACCCTTGATATTCCTTATTTATGATGCTTGGAAAGAATAGAATATGACCAGAAATAAGTGAGCGGGCCCATAAACTCATTAAGAAAGTGTTTACAAAGGTCATCACTCAGGGCTGTTTTCCAGTAGACGTCTAAAGGACCAGAAGCCTTTTTCTGCAACCACAGGTGTCACCAGCTGCTACTGGCACCTCTGTGTTGTCATTTTCCATAGAAGAGAGAAAAAACAGATCTGAACTCCTGACAATGTCATTTCTGACTCTCTGAAAGTCTAGTTCTGGAAGTCTCTGGAAGTTGGTGCTTGTCTCGTGTGCACAAGCGATAGTCATCTGCCCAAATTTAGTAATACATGATCAAGTGTATTAAGAAATCCAAATTTGTCATGTCATTTGGAAACAGCCGTATAGGAGTGTGACCAATAAATGAAACAATGGGTCAGTTTCAGGAGAAAAGCAGCCACCAGAGGCATAAATGAAGCATATTGGAAGGACACGCTTCTCTGAAAAAGTGAAATTGTGAAAACAGGATTTAAATATATAGTAAATTTCAGTTTATTCTTCTTTTGAGAGATTTGTGCAATCGCTCCAACAGCTCTTGCAACCGTAAGTCATCTTTGCTTAGTGTCTGCGTGCTTTTACCTCGCTAATATGCTGAATTGCCGTGTTAGATTTAGATTAAGGCCCCACTGATGAAAAGCACAGCCTCATGATTTAATTAAGCCTTGTTAAGTTTTCTGTGTGACACACATCTTCACTTCTCTCATTTACAGACGGTGGACATCCATAAAGAGAAGGTGGCCAGGCGAGAGATCGGGATCCTGACCACTAACAAGAACACAGCAAGGACTCATAAGATCATAGCGCCGGCCAATATGGAGCGGCCAGTCAGGTACATCAGGAAGCCAATTGACTACACTCTACTGGATGATGTCGGCCACGGCGTTAAGGTGAGCAGATTTTTCTTGTTTTGTGTGTATGTGGCACTAATTTTCTGCTCGCATATAATATTTCCCTCTGCTCAGTCCATTAGTTTTCCTATCTTTTTTCTCTCCCTTCCCCCTCTTTGCTTTCTCGCCAGAGGTACTCCTATCTCCCTCTGTCTCCTCTCCCACTTTGTCTGTTTTTCTCGCTCAAACGGCGTCTCTTGTGCTTTCTCTTTCATCTTCAGAAAACACCCCTCTCTGACCCTGCAGGAATATGTTGCAGTGTGTGTTAGTGGGAACTGGTTCGGGAGGGTGGAGATGGAGATAAACTTAAAAAAAAAGCAATTACGTCATGTAGCTTTCAGAAAACAGCTCTGTTCTTGGATTGTTGTGATCAGAGACACATTTGTGGGACTTTTTTTTTTTTCTTTTCTTTTTTTTTAAAGGCACTTTAGCCGCTCTCATAATCTCATTATGGCGATGATGTTATGGTTCGATTTGTAGTTTATCTAACTTCAGTGTGAAAGGTAGCAAAGAAGCTTTTTGATGTGATAAACTCTTCAAAACAGAGACTCACCCGCAGCTCCCAGCCATTAGGGCTCGCTCTAGGGGTCGCTCGGTGACATCATTTCCTGACAGCTGCAGGCAGTTTTTCTATTTATTTATTTTTTTGGAGATCTCCATTCTCCCTCATGAGCGTCCTCTGCGCCATCAGTCAGCCAATCAATCTCAGCTGTCAGACAGATTGGATTAAAGACCCCGCCATTAGTGTCCCATAGTGTTACAGGCATTGATAAGACCAGATAAAAGCCATTGTGCCACTCTCAATTTTCTGTGTGGGGAGTTGCATTGAAGCCCTCTGTCACGGTTAATGGGATGTGAAACATTTTGTTAGGATGTGTTTCACCCTAGACTTTCCAGACTTTCACCAGTAATTATGACTATTGGGCCGTAAATGTGAGGCTATTTACAGTTTCAGGAATAATAAAAGCAGGAGTCTTTCTTCCTGTGAGTAAGATTCAGAGAGAATGAAATAATTGGCAGATACAGTTTACAAAAACAGATAGTGATAGTGGATTTGGAGTGGCGATACAGATTTTTAGTTTTGGGTCCAGACCGAAACTACCACAGAAAATATCACACAATCACAAACTCCAGAGGTGTGGCTGAGCGATAGAGCCAGAAATAACAGATTTCAACAGACTGACAGTCCAGCCTCTTAAGTCTTTCTTTTTTTTCACAGCAGTGGATTGATGTGTCACATTTACAGTGGTTAGCCACAATGTAGAAAAACGTTGCAGTCTTATGGCTTCACTGCTATGCTACTCTGCTACATGTGGTACAGACGGCCCTGAAAGTATTGTAAGCTGGACAAACTGTGATGATGCTATTTCTTAATTATTCCAACTATCTTTTTTTTGCAAGAAGTCTTTGTTTTATTTTTTGTGCTTATCAAACATCTTTCCCTACATTGCTTAAAGAGGGGAAAAAAAGTAATACTTGCAAACTTTGAGGTGAGGTTGTTGTGTCCACTGTTTCCATCTAGTAATGTTCATATCTAATTAAAACCAGGATCACCAGGCATAACCGTGCAATAAGGTCCATTTTAATCACCCCCAGTTCTGTACCTACTCTTTACTCTAAAAGAGACGCTCAAAATTAGGCCTCGTCGGCTGCTTTAAAGCCGTTTGAGTCTATTTTAGGATTATCACGTAGTACTCTGAGCCTAATCTCTGTGGATTTTCTGCCTTAAACGTCTTTGTCTATGCCGCTAGCCTGTGAATGTGGGGAGCGCACACCCGCACATCCGGCAGCCCTACATCACTCACCTCCTCTCATCTATGCATGTCGAGAGCCAGAGAGCGATCGATACGCAACATCAATACTCCACATTAATTCATAGCGCATGCTGCAATGGCAGCTGTCAAAAGTCTGAACGTCTGTAGCCGCGTTTTATTTACTGATCAGAATCGATACCTTAATAAGAGTTCAGATCGTGAATATTGGCTCCAGTTTGCTTTCAGACTTGCTGTGTTTGCCTGAGGGTTAGCTTTGGCCTAAATGTTGAGTTGGCTTTACGACCTTACAAAAAGTTGGTGTTAGACACCTGCGGAGAGGAAAATAAAATTTGATTTGCTAACATACATTATTGAAGAAAAGTTTTTCTATAAAAGGGAGGTGGGGAAAAAAAAAAAAAAAGGAAGATGAAATTCATGTGGTATAAACAAACCGAACACAGCAGTAATCACTGCAGTCTCACAACTGACAGATCAGGATGCTCCTGCAGGCTTTCTGACAGCAACATGATGCTTTTTAGCTTTAATACGAAAGATGAGATTTATTCTTCCAGTCAGATGATGCTTAATCTAGTCAGCGAGGCTTTCAGGAATGCACCAGGCACGTCGGCTGTTTGAAGTCAGATTTCAGTCCTTTGATATTCTGTCCTGTGTCAGTTAAGAGTTTACAAGATTACTAAAGGGGATGGTTCAAGTTCTTCATGACAAAGACGGCGGCTGCTGTTGTTCCTCTGTATCGGGGATGTTTCTGGTAACTCGTTTCCTAGTTGAGTAAAAATCTGACTAATCCACTGCTGTGAGTGTATGAAAAAAGTGAGCACAATTCTAATCTTACACATTGTCTGTAAACATATTTACGCTATATGAAAGAATCAGTCTAGCATACATCAGGCTAACATACATATGACATTTGTGGTGTAGCCAGGCACGGCTGTACGATCGTATTTGTTTGTACCGCCAGTTTAATGATTTATCACTGATATATCATTAAACTGATGGTTCATAATGGCCCCGTTAGAACCAACAGTTAAGTGGTGTTGCGTTCCAACCAGAGACTGTATAAAACATGGACATTACACGGTAGTTTTGGCCTCCAACACTTCGAGCCTTAACATTGGTCAGATAAATTCAATGAAATGCAACAACGGCACAAACATGGTAGAGAGCTCTAGTTCAAAGACGTGAATTAGTTGAGGTGAGGCCTATCAGACCCATTCAGCTGCCTCTGCAACTCAAACCTATCATGTGTTTTTGGAGCAAGCCTGAAGAAGGCGAACTGCAATTTTTGGCGGATCATCTTTAGATTAATTATTTATTTATTTCTTAAGCACCGCAGATTGCTCCCTTGGTGACTGCTAGTTAGGGCAGCAATGGTTAATTCTTCAGTTCTGGCAGATGTGATAACACCCGACAGGCTACTGATACAAGACCTTTACCCTTAGCAGCTGCAGGCATGTTCAGATTTCACACAAAGGCAGGCGAGAGCGCTGCAACTTTAACTGGTTACAGTTGCTAAGTTTTGCCTTAAAAACCTTAAATGAGCATTTTCCAGCTGCTTTTTTTAAAAGCTCAGTCACATTAAACTCCAGTGGCAGCGGCTGCTTCACAAGAAGGGCTGCACCACATTAAATAAGTTCAACGCTTTTAAAGGGAAGCGGCAGTTAACACAAGTTTAATAAGATGTAAGATATATTAACCGGACCTCCTCCAAGGAGAGTGAAATCTGAACATGAAGTTAGCCTTTCGCAGCTGCACTGAAGCTGTTTCCTGTTTTTAAGCGTGCAAAGGTCGGCTCCTGTTGACCTGTGCTATGAATTTACTCTTGATTTCATCCGTTCTTTCTGTTGTGGTCCTGTGACGCTACAGTGCTTTCTGCAAAGGCCACTGGGGAAGCTGCATTATAGATGAGCCACTTGACTCTGTAGTTGTCAAACTGCAGATCAACCCCGCTGCTATGCTGGCTCTGTTTTCAGACAGAAAGCTACACAAGTATGAGTTTTGAATTTATTTTCTAGGGGTGCCAGTGAAGCGATGATCTGAAATTATGCAGTTCACATCATAGAAAATGCATAAAAGGTTACCAAAGGTTGGAGTGGTTCTCTGCAACCTTTTCTTATGTCATTTTGTCGATGCACAAAAATAAATTCTTCAGTTTCTTTTGCCATTCGATCCCTGAAAAATCTTTGCTGTCTGGCTCTTGCTCTGGGTGTGGTGCTGGAGTCAAGGGCACAAGTCAGGAAAAGTGTTTTTCTATAAATGGCATGATTTTTACTACTGACCTTCTGAGGTCTTGCTACGAGTTAACAGTGTAAATACAAGGAATCATTTTTCTGCTGCTCACTTAACTTGGACTGATCCATTTACATGTGGCTGTTTTGACATGCCCTCTTTCTGTCTCTTTCTCCTGTGTTTTTTGTTTTTTCTTTTTTCCTTCGCCCACACTAAGTGGCTAAAAGCCAAGGTAAGTCTGCTTTGTCACATGACCCATTTTGCTCCGATGTATTATTGATAGATTTATTCAACTCCCTTCCACGGCAGACTCGTCCTCGTGTGATTACTGTCATCATCTCCCATGTTACTTCACATTAACTGACCTGTAGTCCTCCCACAGATGAGCGTAGTCTTTGTCACACTCCCTTGTCTGTTTACCAACCATGTATGTGTTGTTATTTACTTTCATGTTGTGTACTCGTCCCTTAATGTCACGTAGTTTGTTTAATGCTTACGGGTTTCCCAGATAACTGCTGCTGCTCCAAAATTCCATCAGAGTGTAAACTGCACACCCTGGGGGAGGGATTACATCTCCCCTCAAATATTACGCTGTGTCATCTGGGCAGCCTGTAAGAGTAGATTGTGATCACATTAGTAATATTCACCCACTGTGACTGGAGGAATGTGTGCATAAAACAAGCTTCTTCTGGGGTTTCTTTCCAACCACAGCAACATGGAAACAATCAGTCGATCAGAGGAGGAACACTATCGAGGACCAATCCGCCGACGCAAAAGCCGCCCAGTCCGCCGATGTCTGGGCGTGGCACGCTTGGGTAAGAT